AACAATCTTGGTAAATTTAGTGGGTAGTTGATACAAGTCTCTGTGGGTTCGTGTGATGACCCGGCCAGTTGTCTCATGAGTTACCGCTTCGTTTCCCCCATTTTTGATTCTTATTGCTTTGTCTATCGGTTCTATGTGTGATCGGGTTGGTTGGCTAGGGTCCGGAAAGGATTTGATAAGGTTTGAGACACTTAGTCTCTTTTGAGGGAGTTTAAGTTGGAAAGGTCAACCGAGTGTTGACTTATATGTTAGAGGGCTCGAATGTGAGTTCTGATGGTTTGGTTATCTTCGGTAGGTGATTTGGGACTTAGGAGCGTGATCGGCATGGGTTTTGGAGGTTCGGAGTAGATTTAGGTTTGAATTGGCGAAGTTGATATTTTGGCGATTCCCGGTTGGTAGGCGAGATTTTGATATAGTGGTCGGAATGAAATTCCGAGAGTTTCAATAGTTCCATTGTGTTATTTGGGATGTGTGTGGAAAATTTCAGGTCATTCGGACGTGGTTTGGTTGGGTCTTTGATCAAAAGCGAAATTCGAAAGATTTTGGGAACTTAGGCTTGAATCCGATGTGTTTTGGATGATTTGATGTTGTTTGAGGTGTTTTGAAGATTAGTACAAGTTTGAATAAGGTTTTGGGATATGTTGGTGCTTTTGGTTAAGGTCCGGAGGGCCTCGAAGTGATTTCAGATGGTTGACGGAGGAGTTTGAGACTTTGTGAAATTGCAGATTTTTGCTGCTTCTGGTATTTTCGCACCTGCAGATTGGGGACCGCAGGTGTGACGCCCATATGCGAGAAAAGGGTCATAGAAGCAGAAGTTGGGTAGTTGGCAGGAACCGCAGAAGCGGACTAGGGGCCGCACCTGCGGTGACGTAGGTGCGGATATTTCATCACAAATGCGGTTTGGGCAGTTTAAGTGATTTCCGCAGAAGCGGATCAAGGACCGCAAATGCGGTACCGCAGAAGCAGTAAAGTGGCTGCAGATGCGAAAATGCCTGGGCCAGAAAGTATAAATTGTTTCTTTCGCGATTTTTGAGCTATTCCACCATTTTTTACTCGGACTTGGAGCTTTTTGGACGATTTTGAAAAGAGATTTCAAGGGAACTTCATTGAGGTAAGGATTTTGGACCTAAAACTCGTTCCTATGCTATTGTTTCATGGATTAGGGCAATAATTAATGGAAGTTAAGGGTTAAAATTGGGGAAACTTGGGCTTGGTATTGGAGATCTAGACTTGAGGATTTGAGGGACTATTTGTGGTCGGATTTTGGTACTTTTGATATGTATGAACTTGTCGGGAGATAAGGAACCTATTGATGTGAATTTTATCGAATTCTAAGACGTGGGCCCAGGGGTTGGGTTTTGGTAATTACGGGATTTGTGTCGTATATTGATTATTTTCCCTTGGGCTCCGTTCCCTTAGCATATTTTGACACCGTGATTCTGATTTTGGATAGATTCGACTCGAGTGGAGGCCGATTCGAGAGGCAAAGGCATCGCGAGCTAGAGATTTGACCGGTTTGAGGTGAGTAACGATTGTAAATGATGTTCTAAGGGTATGAAACCCCGAATTGCACATCGTGGTGCTATATTGAAGTGACGCACATGCTTGATAACGAGCGTGGGGTCGTGCACTGATAGGGATTGCGAGTTAGTACGTCCCGAATGACTATTTTACCGCGTATTTGACTGAAATCTATTTGCTATCATCATTATTTAGGCTGAATGCCATATTTGGGCCTCGTGCCAACTATTTAAACCCTTCGGGAATTTTTATTAATATTTCCTCACTGTTTTGACTTTATACTTGAACTCAGTCATGATATATTTCACTGTTTTCATACTCAGCCATGTTTACTATGTGTTTAACACTTATATGATCTTTAAAATGATAATTGGGTTGAGAAATCATGTTTTACTACTGCCAAGTGGCTTGTAAGGATTTTTGACTGAGTAAGACCGAGGTCCTATGTTGTGAGGAAACACTGATCATGATTTGAGGCCGAGGGCCTGAGATATGTACGCCACGAAGTGGCTTGATTGATATGAGGCCGAGATCCTAGTGATGATGCTACGAGATGGCTTGATATTGCGCTTGGGCCGTAAGGGGCCCCTCCAGGAGTCTGCACACCCCCAGTGAGCGCGGGTACCCATTATGATGTGAGATATAACCCGAGGGGCTGGTATTGTTCTGAGATATTGCCCGATGGGCAGATTGGTTGATATTGTGCCCGATGGGCGAACCTTTGTGTGTTTATTTTTCTTAATTGTCTGTCACTTACCTGCTTAATTGTTCAAATAAAAATTTATGAAGTTTAATTGTGCCAAATGACTTTCACACATTTTTTACTAATTTTACTGATTCATTATAGTCTACAAATGTACTTTACGTGATTTTCTGCTTTCAGTCTTTATTTATGACTATTACTCCCTGAGTTGGAGTACTCTCTTTACTCCCTGCATCCCGTGTGCAGATTCAGGCGCATCTGGTCCCGCTCCCGAGTGTTGATCTTCCCAGCTCAGGCGGATCCGAGGAGTCTCTAGGCAGCTGTCGGCGTTCGCAGCCCAGAGCTTCTACCTATCTTATTTCTCCATGGTTTTAGTTACTGTATTAAACTCTGTAGTTTTTCTCTGAGTATTCCGGATTGTTTAGATGCTCATGACTAGTGATACCCCGGTATCGGGCTGTGTTGGGTTGTATACCGCAAATTATGCTATTATCTGCTGGAATTTTGGATTATTTCATCATGCTTTAGACTGTTTCTTACAGTTTAACTGTTACTTACTGAAATGGGAAGTGTCGGATGGCCTTGTCTTAACGAGAGACGTCATCACGATAGGGTCCGAATTTAGGATCGTGACAGTTCGACACTCGACTTATCATTTTATTACTTGTACGACCACGTATACTTACGTGTGCGTTTGGGAGCAACAACTACCCATACTCGTCCTACTGAACTTGGGCTCCGATACCAGTTGTTGAGCTCAAGCCGCCCAAAGATATCCTTAATATTTTGTGATATTGTCTGTTTTGGGCCAGCTCGCACATTTTTTCTTAATAGGCCTCACACTTAAGAGATTCTCACACCTTATATGTAGGCTCTAATTTTTTCAGCTATCAATGTAGGACTTTATTCCTTCCCCCAACTAACATGTAAGTGAATAGTAAAACAGTAAAAGATACAAAAATAGTAGGTGAAGATGATATGTGAATGAATTTGTCCATCTAAATATAACAAACAACAATATTACTTCTTTTGCAGTTNATACTAAGGGTATGTTTGGTATGAAGGAAAATATTTTTCGGGAAACGTTTTCCAATTTTTTCATGTTTGGTTGACTTAAATATTTTGAAAAATATTTTCCTCATGAACTCATTTTCATTCAATTGGGGAAAAATATTTTCCCTATCAAAAGAAAGGAAAACATTTTCCAAAATTCTTCTTCAACCTTCTTCACCCTAATCCTCATCTCCACCAACCACCCGCACACTCCACCCATAACCCACGCCA